CCCTTGTACAGGAATACAGAAAGTGAACTGCTGTCATTCAACCCTAATGACTTTATGGGACTGGATAGATTACTGTCTAGATAAAAATTGCTCATTCATTTTGTTTGAGAAAAAACTTATCTTTCCATTTTTGTAAGGATTTACATACACTCATTATTTCAGGAACAGGTTGGAAAAAAAATTCTTCACAAATTATGCAGTTGATGTCCTGAAAAGTGCCCTTTAAATTTGCACCAGTACCCAAAACAAATGAACAAAAATACTAAACAGCATGAAGGCATACAAGTATGAAACGATTGTGGAGTTAGAGGGAGATTGAAAACTGCAGTTCAGATAGCAATTCAGAATTTAATTGGCAAATATTGATTGAGAATTCCAATCCCTAATTGTGTGAAGAGGATTTGAAAACATGAACTAGCAAAAGTCTAAAAGCTAAGAAGCATTTCATTGGAATTTTGGAAATTCTTGCATCTCGGGTTGAGTTTTGAAATGAGTTTTCTTTGATCACATACAAAAAAGTTGGATATCATTCGCTTTAGATGGGCTTTAATGATTGTTTTGGGATGTGTTATTTGTTAACCTTTATAACAATTTTGACAAATAATTTTAAAAAGATAAATAAAATTTTCATTTGAAATTGTAAAAACTACAAAGGCAACTGTTTGGGATTGAAAAAATGGAGGGTTTTTGCTTGTGTATGGGCTTTATTTCAAGATATAAATGTTCCAAATATCAAAGGTGCTTAGGGTACTACAGAATTATTTTTATCTGGTTAACACTCAAAATACTCATGCTGATATATGAGTTTAGAGCTCACTCAGGAGTTTCACTATTGAAACGCTGGTGACTGAACTTTGACATTGAATCTATTGAAAAAATTCCAGGCTTTACTGATCTGGTGCATGTGGCTAGGCGATATTTGATTCTGTAGAGGACAAGTTTGACCAGTTGGCATGCGTGGAGTAGGACAACCATTTTTGAAAATAAATCCATCAGATTGCGCATTACCTTCGATTTATGAAATAAAGCCATTTTACTGCCAGATGCTGTTCAAAACAATATTATCATATTTATATTTTTTGAAGGAATTGCGGCAAACTGGTTAATCAAAAACCTTTACATGTACTCGGTTCATTAGGTATCATGTGATTTTACAGAGCGTCATTTCCCAAGGTATAGGACAATTAAAGCCTTTGTCCGGTAAAAGGACGGGGCGTGAACTATTTGAAAGTGCACAGGACGTGTCGCAGAAATACGGAATACAGTCGCACTTTAACAAACGCCCCCCCCCACACGCCGCTGCTATGTACATGTAGGCCTACATGTGCATTCTCCAAAGCCTATACATGTACAATGTTATTGTCGAGGTTCCTGTTACAGCTGCATAGACCTATAGGTTTGTGTGAACCACCACGGTCATTTGCCTCATGAGCCAGGAGGAAGGAAATACCATCTGTTTATACACATAAATTCACTTCCTCGATCAGTTCATCGCGTTCAACCAGTCGGTACGTTGGGATGTGTACAGTATGGAATGCTAACAAGGTATAGAGTTGGGGGCGCCGTAAGTGTGTCATACTTTGGGGTCATTGGGCTGTAGTTAACCCTAACCCTCCTCAATCCTTCACCTGTTGGAGGATCGAGGAGTGTTAGGGTTAATGCAGTGTATTACTAATTAATTCCACACACCATGATCTCAGTCGTTCGGTTAATTTTAACTATCAAACTAGAGATATAGCAGTTGTTTGGAAGGCACTCGTTTTGCATATCACGCTTAAGCCTTGCGTCGCGCAGTGACATCACCACTGCTCAACCTCGTTGTACCATTGCACTATTAACTTCAATCGTTCTTTAATTTTTTTGACAGGGATATGGTTGGAGAGAAATTCTGTTGGAATATATTCAATATCTACGACTAGCCACCATCCCTGTTGTGTTATTTGGCTGTGATGCAGTAACCAATATCTGAGATCAAGACCGTGCAATCCAATACGAAAAATGGCCACCAATAGCCGCTGTTTACGTCCCTTTCTATACCAACCAATCAGAGTAAGTCATCCAACAAGACAGTGACTACAAGCAAGTGCCTGTGACTGACAGGTTTGCGTGTGTCAATCAAAAAACTACATGTTTTATGAATGTGCCATTTTCATCCCAGCAATACCAACAAGTGTAAATCGCGGGCTCTCCACACTGCCGGTGACAGAGGTTTCACTTGTGCTGTGTAACCAAAATGTGTGCAAACATCACATCAACATTACGTTGGACATCACGAGAGTCGGTGGTGTCTGTGAGTGACAACGCGCAGGCGCCAATCACAATCCAGGGCAAGCTCGCCAGTCACTGCTCAGGAAATGGCTGGACAGTTTAAAGGCACGAGCGGGCGCTCCGCTGCTCAGAACAACCACCGCTCACCTTCAACTGTAAATCACCGTCTGAAAGAGCAAATTGCGGGCAAGAGATTAGGTAAGTGTTTTATAAGTGTTTTCAAAACAAAACTGAACTTAAACGCACACAATCTAAGAGCCGTGAACAAAGACTGTTAAAATCAACTGGTATACATAATTATGTGTACCACTTGCTGAGGTGTGAAACACACTTTCTCGGCGAAACTCGGATATGAGTTGGAAGCGGCATGCTGGTTAGATTCTGTTGAATTTTGCTGGAAACAAAGTAAAAGAAGTGGCAAACGCATCTTTGCTGAGCTATGCTTTTTGGGGGCAGCAGATGTTGGCGTAACTGTGAGTGAGTTCTGTGAGCCGACATTTCAGAGAGCGTACGCTTTGATTATTCAAAATGCCGTGCGCATCTGCACACATGATTTCTGTCTTCTGTGCAGAGAAACGTGTGTTATACAGTTTCTAGATTACTTTAAACGAGTCCCGGTAACATGGCATGTTACTTTGGAATTAGTCATAGCTTATCATATAATAATTGCAGAAGTAAACCGAAAAAAATGTTTTCCCCTTTTTAACCTTAGAAACTGATTTTAAGTTCGTATAAAACAGCATGAAAACCTCAGCATGTTTTCCTTGCACTTGATATTTACATCAATTCGCAGGAAAAACCAATCTTCAGAGAGATCTCTCCAACACGTGAAAACAAGAATTGAGCATACCAAAAGACGAAAATGATTTCATGACACTTTCAAAACCGTCCTTTACCTGCACTTTGTGGCTCGCAAAACTTTGAGTTTGAAATTGCAAGGACTTATGAAAATAAGTTTACACCACCGATCCTTGAGACATAAATACCTGCGTGACAGAATTGTCACAGTTGACAAGAAATGTGTAATGACCACGTACGCAGAAGCTCCTGTGGAGAGAATTGTTAGATATATTGAAGGACAATAGGGCTATATTTGGAAAGTTTCGTCAGTAATGTTTTGCTTCTTCTCGAGAGACAATATAAACACGCATTGTTTCAACAAACATGTCTCTGAATTAGCCCATTAACAGTAAACAACACCGCAGGCCACTTCCCCTGGGCAAAGCCTATTTTGAAGACACGAATTCAAATTATCTCTGATCATCAGTTATGCCTGACCTACGCATCCTTCTTGCGCGGTACATTTATGTATACTTACGCAAAACTTTCATTGCAGCTACTGAATAATTCACCCCAAAATGTTGGTTTTCCTAAGTTTTACTTTTCCCATTTCTCATGTTCCTGTTTGTTCTACCTCTCAAGTTTTATCTTCTGACAATATTTGTGTGTTTTCGCGCCTGAATTGCTCGGTCCTACTGTACATGTGGGAAGAGATCTTTCTTCCAAACCTGTTTGTTTGTCAACGTTTGTATTGTTTCCTTTGATGTTACAGACTGTACTAAAATCCTGACATCCAGATTTCCTTTTTAGTCCTCGATATCACGAGTGACAAATTATGGTGAGTGCCTTTCTAATTTCCCATATTCTTGCTTACCACAAAATAACGCTACCTCGTCCTCAAATGCGATATTGCTTGACGGTTGGTAAACAGTCATTGCCCTCAAAGTGAATGGTCTGAGCATGTTTTTTGTGTTTACGATAATTTTTATTCATACTTAATCTACTTGACGGAAGGAAATATTATTGAAGATATAAGAAATATCACTCAATATTAAAATCCGAGAATATTGGACGACAGTGTGGCGTCCTCTGCCACAGAAAGACTAGACATGTCCAATGTTGTGCACAAAAATGTACGCTGGATCAGCTTGTCAGTGGTGAAGGTTAATTATACCTCCACAAGTTTTCAATAAACAACTTTTTAAAGTAACTTAAAAGAATGAAGTTAGTCGATCTCCGTGTTTTTTCAAAGTTTTCACTTCATGTGAATTAGCAAATGTCTTGATTGATCTATGATTTGAGTTTTTCGCCAAATTATAGACTTTGTTCTGTATATTTTGTCTTGACAGATAATCTAAGTTTCAAAATAGAAATATACAAAGCCCCAAAGGCACTCGCTGATGGAAAACAACCTTGATATAACACACTTTTTACCCCATGTGTTCATTTCCGCTCTCACAAATTTTATAAAAACCATGGGGACCAGAGTGCGCCACTGTAAACCATGATTTCTGCTTTTTAAAAACTATCAAAAAAGTTGTCACTTTCTTCTTTCCACGTGGATGGTAATATTGTATTTTGGTCAATTAAAGATATTCAAGCTTTCATATCATTTATTTATGGTACATCATTTTGGCTTATAGAAATGTGAATTCCTGGAAATCCTTTTGCTTCTTCAGATTGCAATTTTCATCAAATCGACATCTGTTTTCTTAATAGTAAAACAAAAACAGTTCCAACAGAGTAAACACGAAATTTCATAATTTAACTTATTCCATTTTCCCTTCACTTTACGACAATATTTTTTCTTTTCGTTAGCTTTTTTCTCATTTTTCTTCTAATGAGTACTATCCGTACAATACCGTCACACGGTCACAATGGAGGATCACAGTTCCTACATCTCATTTGATACCATACCCAAACTGATCTACAGATTCCAAAATGTACAAGCTTACTATGCTTCTGTTAACAAATTTCTAACTCAACTCGAGTTTCATTCGCCCTTGTGTGTTACTCCCCCCTTTTCCACTCCTCTTGATTTAAAAAAATTTTTTTACAGATGCAGATCTGTTTTGCCAACGTCTTTTCGATCGCCATCCTTCTGGGTAGCACTATCAAGCTCCGAGCTGCCATTACTGGGCCGGTTCCCACGGAGGATGGTGGTCCTGGACCTCAGGCGTGTCCAATGTGCTGCCATGGACCCCCTGCGGGAATACCCGGCACACCAGGCCTGCCGGGCAGCCCAGGTCCATATGGTCCCGCGGGGTCGAAGGGCGACGCAGGTGAGCCAGGTCTAAAGGGTGAGATGGGTTCGATTGGCGCTATGGGTGAGCGGGGGCCCCCCGGGAACCCTGGACCTAAAGGGGAGGACGGGGTAGGCCTGCCCGGTAAGGTAGGGCCGCAAGGGCCGCCTGGTGCAGTTGGCCCAACCGGGGAAGCTGGTGTCAAAGGTCGAAGGGGTGAGCCTGGTCCGATTGGCGCCATGGGTCAGCGGGGAGGTCCTGGAAACCCTGGACCTAAAGGGAAAAACGGAATGGGCCTTCCCGGCGAAATAGGTCCAAGAGGTAGACCAGGTACAGTCGGACCGACCGGGGAAGCTGGTGTCAAAGGTCAAAAGGGTGAACCGGGTGAGCCCGGGGAGACTCCAGGAGTGGCATTCACTGTGACGAGGACGACCAACTCGGATACCTCTACGAGCAGCCTCACCCATTTGGCCTTTCAGCATACCGAGACGCTTCTGCCGGCCGGTACCAGATTCGATCTAGACACTGCTACATTCACATGTAAGGTGCCAGGTACCTATGTGTTCATGTATTCTGTGCTGAAGCATCCTTCCAGCAGCAGTTTGTCCGTCTATCTGAGAAAAAACAACTCCGTTATTGTCTCTGGCTACAGCAATGATTCAAGCAAATATGATCAGGTGTCTGGGGGTGCAGTGGTAGTTCTGCAGCGAGGAGACACGGTGTATTTAACCATGACCGGTCGGGCGTACAGTGATTCTGACCACGAGTCATCTTTCAGTGGTTTTCTCCTTTTTGCCGAATGAACACATAGCGCAGTTACCCATGTCAATGGTCGTAGAATATTTAGCTGCTGATGGCGACCGTACACTGCGAAATTAGGCTATAGTTTATTCACTGCACACTATCGGTGTGATAACTCCCTTTAATACGTTAAAACAAAATACGAATTAATTGATAATTTCCACTGCATTCAATTAGATCAAATTATTCTTAATCTGTATGCTGTATGTAAATCAATTAATAACCGGTGTTTGGATCAAACTAACGACTTTTGTGGGACGTCGTAGCATTATGTCGTCAGGCCTCCTTAATCTACGCAGTCCTATGTCTATCAGTGAACGTTTCTCGGACTCGCGCGCTAATGAGCAACCACTGGTCACTTGTATCGTTTGTCCGTGTTCAAAGGTTTGCAAAAGACCCCGAAATGTTAGAAATTAATCCTGCATAATCTTAGTTTATGTGTAAAACAAATAAACGACATTTTGGGGCAAATTTTCCTAGGCATATATTCTGGAGTTTGTGACATGAGTCCCCCCCCGCCAAAAAAAGGAAGTCTTCTTGTCGCCTAACAGTTCGCCCTCTAGTTTGATGTCAGTAAAAATCATTGACTCAATCGTGAAACGCCACAGGGTTGCAAATACGGCCCTTTTCTTATTTTTGAGGTTTCAAAATTTTTTTTTTGCAAAAATTTCAAAAGTCGTTTTTGGTTTCTTTTGTCAATTGAGTGATTATGAATAAAAGTTTGTGGTGGATTCATTTTTAGGTTTGGTTTCTCATTTTTCTTGTCAGAAGAGACTTAGGTTACTTGGCTTGACACTGCGTTGCCCATGGTCATGAATAAAAGCAAAGGCGGGATGGGATATGCGCTAGCCTGATCACCACGGATACTGTTTGTTGGGGGGGGTGTACGGGGATAGGGTTGTTCACTATTGGGGGTGGTTACAGGACGTGCTAGAACATGACAGTTCGCTAGTAGTTTCTAATCCAAACGGGATCTTTAGTGCTCCGTAAAAAGACTTTACAATCGTGATTTTTCCTGTGTGCCGTAACTAAGTCGGCCTCCTTTCATGCGTTTTATAGCATAAACGATTTAATGGGATTTTCTGAAGAAAAAAACTGAATAAAACTAGACAAACCTGAGAGAAAATGAATAAAATCGCACTCTATAAATTTTCAGTGATCCAGACATATACTTCTTGCCGCCATGGCCTTTTGTGCGCATGCGTGCATAATGATGAATTTATGAGAGAAAGGTCTATGTCGCATTGGCTTGTGAACACACACACAAAAAACACTATAAAAATAGAGTGAAAACCACTGCAAAAGAGTGAAATTTCCTCTCTGTTGGGGCCAACTTATACTTTTTAATAAGGAGCAATATTGGGGACACAACTATAAAACAAAACGAAAACAAGATTGCCTCATCTTTTGGAAATATGTCATCCTGTATAAAAAGTACCAGATGGATTTTAAGGTGACATTTACTTTGGGTAATGTATAGTGCAGTTTTAGCGTCATTCCATTTTTGTCACATTGTTGAAATTTTGTATGGTTAAAAACAAACCAGTATATTGTGTATGTATGTTTGACTTTATCGTAATGTAGACAGCTGTAACACTGTTGAAGTTTGAATAACAAATATAATAATTCATATTAAGCCATGACTGTATGAAAACATTTCGATGATATATCGATAACACCACAAAGAGCCTTTTCACAAAGCTTAGATTGTATTGGTACGTAGTTGTACTTTTATCTTCTAATACAAAATTAGATTGTTGTGCGGGACAGAACATATTAAGCATTTCAGCACAAAAACTACAATAACACGGCAATATATGTCCAATCTTCAAGGTTTAGTTTTCACCTTGTACATTAAATTTTATGCATTGCATTGCAGCAACGATACTTCAACCGAAATGACTTGTACCAGTGAAATGAATAAAATCTACTTTAGATTAAACAATCATGTGCAACTTTGCTTGAAATAAATATTAATTGAAGTGCAAAAAAGGCGTCAAAATGTCTGTTAATTTTGATGCGTGAGTGGAATGTTCAAAGGTTGCAGGTCAGTTAATAGGCTTTATATTTTTTTTGGGCTTTGGACTGACCCCATTAAGTGCATGCCTTCAATTGTACAGTTATCCTTGCAGGATAGATAGAAAGTATCAATAGGGTTGAAAACAGCCTTGTTAGTCGGGAGTGTTCGTTTTGTTAGTAGTGACGCACACAGTTTCCAGTCGTTCGTGAAACAGCGAGGTTCAGTTCCGACCAAAGAACCCTCGATTTTGCTGAGAAAATAGCGCCCTCTGTTGGTCCAGCTCAAGGCCCATAGGCATAACGATGTTGTATATCAAACTTTTTAAAATAACCAGACGAAAAGAATCTTTATTGCGCCATTGCTT